CACAGTTATCATACCGTTACAAGCAATAGTGGTCGCTAATGACCTAGTAGTTGATGCGACCTTAAATATAAAAATAATTTTAAAAAAAATAATAATAAATATAATAATATTAAGATGAAAAGGAAGTACAGAGAAGAACAAAAAAAGGATAATTCCAACCATTTTCCTTAACTTTAAATATATTAAATTGTATTTTTCCAAATTAAAAATTTATTTTATTTGAAAAATTAAGAGGGCTTAACCCAGCCCTCCAAAGTACACCAAATTTGAAAGAGAAGCAAATGATTATTTTTTACTTATCTTCCTTCAAAATTTCTAAATTTAAGTGTTGACAATTTATTATTTAAAGGAAGTGACTTTAAACTAGAGAAATAAAATATATTCTTATTTTCTAAATGTAGTTACTGTGAAAGAAACAGTGCTAAATTTCAGCTAGATACAAATACAGAGCCCCTGACAATCACTGAGAAAATAAATGAAAACCATAATTGAGATATTAAAGATACCATGCTCAGAAAAAATTAATACAACAAAACTAATAATAATGTAGAGAATTTTTAATATTTCCAATTTATCTACAATTACACGCAAAGCATTCTGATTAACAATTCCAAAAAATTGATCATATTAACCAACTTTCATTTCCAATGACATAATGTATATTCCAATAAGAAAGTCTGGAACTCAGATAATCTGCTCTTACACCCAATATAATGCCTTCAACAAAATAAAAAATATTAAATGAGAACCAAATTTCCTCTTTTAAATTTGGAAAGTAGAAAAATAGCATTACAAGGTTATTATATCAGAACAAGAAAATATTATAACTAAAACCTACTGCATTTGAAGGTTTTTGGAAGAACAAACTTGCATGATTTATTTTTCGTTTTTATTGTTGAAAGCATAAGGTGCCTGATGAGCCTAACAAGTTGTGAATAATTGAACAAATATAGTTTAGTTCTGAAAGGTAAGAGGAGTATGTTATAAACAATGTTTGAATTGGAACTTTTGTTGGTTCAGAAAAAACATTAATTGAAAATTCAAAACAAATTTAAATAAAAAAAAAATAATTATGAAATATGATCAGAATGTCAATTTCTAGCCCAAGAAACAATGTAAGAATATTCAAGAATAATCCATAAAAACAATTTATTATCACATTAAGTATATTTCACTAAGATTGAAGAGATGTTATGCTAATGAGATACCATCATTAAATCCAAGACTAAGAACATGCAATATGATATTGATATAATTTTATTTTGAAAGTTAAATCATAACAATTAGATTTTTCTTTTAATTAGAACTGTCACCAAAACACAAGAATACTTACATGACCCCAAAAATGTGTAACTTATCATTATGTAATAATGATTTGTATTTGATACCTTTCACCATAGTAACATATTTGGATATGGCAAAGTTTATCAATATTTTATTACTGCAACATCTGTTATACATTCATGTACTGTTACAAGTACAATGTTATTGAGTTACAAACCAATTACAATGAAAAATAGAATAGTTAATCGTTTCAAAATATAAGAAAATGATTATTTTTCTTATTGAATTAAAGGAATGTGGAATCAGAATATATCAATTTAAACAAATATATCACATTCTTTGAAGAACTCCAAAGGTTTATGAAACCAATGAAATATGATTGCTTTTTAACAAATTTTAAAAAAGAAGCTTTAAAAGTGTAAGGTTTTACAGAAACAGAAGAGAGAAAACATATTATCAATTTTCCAGATAAATGTTCACTTACTAATGATTTATAGACAGAATATAGAAAAAACTACATACAAAAGAAAAAAAAATACTTTGATTAATATTAGATTAACATGTTTTTCAAGGAAAATCCAACAAATTAACTTGTCATACCCAATTTTCTCATTAAAAATAATTGGCAGATTCCTTTATTAAATATAATCTTTCAAATCACACCACAGACATTTTTATTCTGATAATAAAAGTGTATAAGTATTACCATTTAATTAACATTAACATGCCAAAGATATAAAATTGTTTTTACTTTACTTTCTTTGTAGCTGGCACATCTTCAAATACCAAAGACAACTTATGACTTATGACTATGACAACTTATGAAATGACTGAATTAAACATAAAAATCATTATAAAGAGTCAGAAAAATAACTGTCTATAAACAAATGATAAGACATGCATTCTCATTAACATGACTTTTTCCTTTTATCGTGAAGAGGAGTAACATTTATATAGATTGAAATAAAATAATGGCGATTGCTTAAAAGATTGAAAGTCAATAACATAAAAAAGGCTATAAATGTCAATGAATTATGTATCACTTTTTTCAACATATTTTATAATTTTCAATCTACAATTATATATAATCACATTTCCGCAGGAAATGTTTTTAAATGGTAATTGTAACTTACATTAATCGACAGGAAACGTTCTCGACGATTCCACCGTTTCACTAATGAACGTAGTGATACTTCTGGGTACTTTTTTCAGTCACGTGAGATTACTTTGACACTCAGTTCTGCCAAATCACATTCGGGGCGTTGTCGATGAGTATCAATTACACGAACGTCTGTTTCTGCATGAGCTGTGGTGCCCCCTAAACTTTTGTCTTTCCGCTAATAGAAAAATGTTCGCAACAAAACTATTCATGTTGCTCAAATTAAAGAAAAATGCGCTTCAAAATGTATAATTAATAAATATTAGATACAAGAATTACTCATTGATTTCAAGTTGGTTCATTGCAATGATAAAAGTGAATAGTGGGAACTTTTCGATATTCCGTGAATGTACTCTGTTCGCTAATCTCCGGTATGCATTTATCATTTATTTCATAAGAATTAATTTTATTGTTCCCGAAAAATATATGACATGATTTGTATCAATCAAACGTTTCAGAAGTATTTTCAGATGGCTCTTAAGCTCATGTCGTAGACATATAGTTCAAGACTGGCAACGTTCTACATACAAGCAATGGGGCAAAATCTTACGCTCGTCGCCATTTTATCTCTTTGAATTCCTTCTCTGTCAGAATTGTATTTTTTTTGTGAATTTTATGCGTTTTAATAAATTTCTTACGGCTTTTAGCATTTGATAAATTACTTACAGCACAATGGTGAGTGGTTTTGTTGCGATTGCAGTTAGTTTTTCAAAATTGCGACTCGAGGGGGGAAAATTGAACTTTCAATTCACCAGTTAGTTATTTCCTTTTAGTGTTTTGCGCTTATTAAGGTTGGAATTTAGTTATTGAATTTCACTGACAGTGGAAGATTATTATAGTTATGATTGTTTCATTAAACTACTAAATAAAATATTTTAAATATAATTTAACTTAAACTAATATTATTGTAAAAAATACAGGAGAACAAAATAACCGAATGGTGTTTATTACTGCCTTATAAACACCTGTCAAATTTTAAAGTATCTGTAAAAAATATAATAATTAACTTTGGAGTCATCTGACTTCCATTTCAGTCAGGTTTTTCATCGTTTCCCTCTACCCATAGAGAAAATGCCGAATTATTTCTTCCCTGTGCTTCTAGAGTTTTAAATATTGTTTTTATTATCATCATGTGTATTGGACGCTGACTGAGTCTAATGTTGTTTTGAAGATAAAAAAGCATAGCGTTTGGAAAAGCTTGGTGTCAATTGTTTGATATGTTTAATATTATTTTCCATTTAATATTCCAGATTTTCAGCCGCAATTTCTTGGTAACACAGGTCTGGGGACTATTGTTTAGTATTAAATGCCTTTGAGCGAAACAGTGACACAAAATGGCGGCATGGCTTACGTGACAAAGATTGACAAAGACAAAAAACGAGCATATGACAAACTACGACGTACTGCACAACGGACAAACTGAGCCAATGACAACAGTAATAATAATAATAATAATAATAATAATAATAATAATAATAATAATAATAATAATAATAATAATAATAATAAATATGATATATTTAGAAGGAGTACAATCAGATACATCTTCTTGGGAGCAACGAGTGAAGTTACATTAATTTTTATTGTCCAGAAGCAAAACAAGGGATCATCTCAGCATTTGCTCAAAGAACCAGGGAAACTGGACAAAGAAACTGGATCAAGGTGGGGTCATTGGCCTAGAGATTATACTACAATACTTGTTACAGATATATTAAGATATTACATAGTAGATAATTATTTTTAGTAGCAAATAGTTGAACATTTAATTTACTTTACTGTCATTAACTTCATGTTAGAAATGACAATATAATATTGAATAGGTCTCCTCGAAGTAATGTTTCTTTTAAATAAATCCAATATAATTCTCTTTCTGGCCATCTAAAACAGCAAAAGTACACAATCGTAGAACTTGAAGACAATGCCAGAACTACTCCTGAAAACTAGACCTCAGCCATATGCACAGCTCTGTTTGATTTTTGCCCTCTAATTTAAGCTACATACTAGATTTAAATGGTACTAAGTGTTGTGTTGCTAAGGTACAAAAGATGAATCTGTATTACACTAAAGCAAATAGTGGTAACTACCATAGATACTGCTGCTTTAAAAGATAACTATTTCACACTTAGGACCAAATAATCTAAGTTAACTACATAAAAAGGGAAGATACCACTTTATTCAAAAGGTCTTTTTTATATTTGCCATCAACATGCAAACATTGAACCTTAGTAGTATGTAGCACAAAATTACAAACAACTTCCTAGTAACAATAACTCAGTTTTATGAAAAATGCAGATATGACCTTCGTGCTTAGCACTGTAGTGCAGATAATTTGTTTTTTTATTTGTTTTATGATTTTAGGGGAATGTTTTAGGGATAAGTAGGGAATTAGAGAATTAGCATTTGGAGTGGGATAATTGCCTACTTATTTATATTGTTCACAGTCATGATGCATTAATTTTTCTTCAATATCTGAGAAATATTTATTAAATGGGTCTGCTATTTTTTATGGGTTATGCAGAACATTACTTTTGAAGTGAAGTGCAATGTTCTTAGTGTTTTAGATTTTTCATTGTTTTTCACAATGTTCCACATTTTTTTTAATGCTTTGGTAATATTTAGATCGTTCATAAATAGTTTGGCCTGTTTAATTACTTTCTTCAAAATATATTTGAATGTTTTATAGTAAGCAATGAATTCAAAACTACATTTGTATATAGCGATTATTTCATGCAAGTTTCAATTCCTTTCACATTATATTTTCATTTTTTTGGCTATCAATGATTTGTGATTTTTGCTTTTTATTTTCTTAGGTGTCTATGGGAAAATAATATTGAAATAGCCTTTCAATATGTTTATGAACAAGTTAAATTTGGCATTTGTGTGTGTTGCTTTGTACACCTCATCCCAATTTTCTGAACTTATGAGAGAGTTAAATTTGTCTAAGTTTTCTTTATAGAATTTTTGTGCTTCTCTGTGTTTCCTTAATAATTTTTATGTCCATTTTGAGTTTGAGAATTTGCACTGTGTGGTCACTAACACCTGTTTGAATGTAATAACTGAATAGATGCAATCTTGTGTCTATTATTATTTGATCAATGGTGGTTTTACTTCATTTAGGTATTCTGGTAAAGTCATTTATAATAGTTTAATGAATTTGAGTAAATTTTTGAATAGCTCCTCATAATTTTATTTTCACACACAGATTATATTAAAATTAACGCATTATATCATATTATAGTTTCTGCATCTTTTATGTTTAACAGGAACAACTTGAAGATTTTTGAAGAAAATGTTTCTTTCCTGGGGACTGTGTACATAAAATCCATTTTCATTGTTTTTGTAAATCTACAATAGATTTTCCAATGTGCTTATCTATTAAGAAAGGAGTATTCTGTGATTGATAAATAGTGAATATTATTTTTAACAGAAATGCAAGTATCAGCATGGATATGATATGATTTGCCTTCATGAGCCACTAGCAGGTGTGAAACCTGTAATTTTTTGCTATGTAGTTGTTGTTGAGTTGGCAAATGTTCACTGAAGCATAATATTGTTATGTGTTGTAGGACTTGTTCAAGTAATATTTCTAGAACAGTGAGCTCCTTTCTTAATGACTGAACATTTTGATATAGTACATATAAATACATAGAAAAAATCACTAGTACCTATTATTGTAATATTTTGAGTTAAATGAGTACTTGTATAAGTAATTTCATTTGTTGTGTTTAGTACAGGAGCTTCATTTGAGAATATTAATTAAATTTGTAAATAAGAAAGACTAGTGTTAATGTAATGTGATTGTGATCTAATTAATTGAAATTTTATTTCTTTTTGCTCTGATATTTTTGTGTGCTAAAAGAGTAAAATTAATTACATATTCCATAACTGCAAGGCAACAACAGAGCTCATTGCAAAAGATACATAACTTGTGAGTTTTAACAATTCTAACTGAAAATTGCATTGCATTGCATTTGCATTTTCGCATTTGCAATTGCATAGCATTTTTATAAGAATGTGATGGTTAAAATAAAATGAAACCAGAACCTTCTGAACCACATGAGATTTCCACTGATCTTTGGCTCCCAGAGATTGATAAGTGAGATACTTCAGGTTCTAATTACTGTTTTCTCTAGCCAGTGAAACTACATGAATATAATTTGTTAAATTAAGAATTTATATTTTGGACACACATGTACAACATGACTGTTCAAATGAATTTTAAATTACATTTATATTGTTTATAACTTAAATTCTTACAATCTATTTTCGTCCTTGTCATGTATTATTGACAATAGCAATATCCCCCTGCCACAGAATAAGTATGTCGAGTTATGGCACTGCCTTAAGGAACTCATTATAAATCATTGTAAAGAATTAAATCTCATGAATTTGTCACATTACAGAAAACATATTGTAAAGGACTGGTACTCTCTTGCTACTTTAAAAAGTGGAACAAACTTATACCAGTTTTAAGGAGCCATTAAGTAGTGACATAGTTTATAATTTTTACTTACTTCATCTTTTACCTTAAAAATTAATTTGGAGTTAGTTAAGTTGAGCAACTTCAATTCTTTATCTTGGTTTAATACAATTGCATGAAACAGAATTTTTCTTGTACTCATGTTTTTGTTGTTGTACAAGAGTACAAAATGTTATACAGAAATACAGTTATACAAAAAATATAACAAATTAATGTACAAAAAATATTGTGATAATAATAGTTTTAACTATCTTTTTATTAACATTCATGAGTGAATTTTTTTAAAGACATCAATAATAATTCTAATTTAAAATATTTGTACAATGGGAGCTCTGCATAACCAGGGATGATGAAGAATATCCCAGCCGCAAGCCTTCTGCTGGCATTGTTAATAAGAAGGTTCTTGATTATATCCTTCGATTCATTTAATTTAAAGGACCATTTCTCCTCAGGAAAATCATAGGTATCTTTTAGGATGTTATTAAAAACTTTTCCCTTGCAAGCATAGCAATTCTCTTCTCTGTCCTATCCACAATCACTTTCACATTTATCATAAAATGAATTGTAACCACACAACAGAATATACATGATAACACCTAAAGACCAGAGATCACATCGCTTGTTGTACTGACTTGATTTTCCAGTAAATGCTTCAACTACTTCGGGAGCCATAAATTCTGCAGTTCCAACAGGAGGACGTAGCTGTGATGCAGGAGACAAGAGATAGGAATTTAACTCTGTCGCAAAATCGAGCCCCAAGTCGCAAATCTTCACTGGATTCAGTTTATCAGAATACATACAAAGAATGTTTCCCAGTTTGAGATCTCTATGTGCAATACTTTTCTGTGTAAAAAAATTAGTGCACTCAAAATGTCTCTGATTATTTCTCTAGCTTCTTTCTCACTGAATGTATTTTGTTCTTGAATATGAGTAAGTAAGGACCCTCCATTAGCTTTTTCATAAACAAGATAAAAACTCGTTTTAACATCAAAAATATGTATTAACTATATAACATGGGGATGGACTTTAGAATGATGAAATATTACCACCTAGTTAACAACACGGCTGCCTAAGTGACCCAGAATATTGAACCCAGCAATATTAATTCATAGAATATTTAAATCTTGAAATAAGAAGGTGGCTGGTTTTTGCGAGGTTTTATAATTCTGCTCCTAGTCCTACTGGAGCACCTGAAGTTAGATTGCACATACTACACATTAAAGTATTATTCCTGAACACCAAAAGAAAGTTTTTACCCAATGAAGTGTTTAGCTGTATTTAAACTTAATTCTGTTATGTCTCTCAGATGTTTTATTAACTTGATGAATAATTTTGTGCTTGTGAAAAATGTGCCCTTTTGGTATACCTTGCTTGTGCAGATTGATTGGTGCAGGATATATACTTGCCTTGTGTTGTATGAGTGTAAGCTTGAGTTAAATATGCAAGGTGTAACAGTTTTTGTTAGGTTTTTCTTTACAAATATGAGAACTTATTAAATAAATATGCGAGGCAGTGGAATTATGATAAGGTTTTTGAACTGAGGTCTACAGGATTCTTTTGTTTTTATTATATTATGGATGATTTTCTTGTGGGCTTTAAAGGTTTATTTAGTCTGTAGTGCATGGTCCAAGATTATTATTCTGTATTTGAGGATAGTGAAAATATTTGCGGGATAGGCCCACACTGTTTGAACAGTTTCAGTGCTGCAGTTCCTTGTGATTATTTTAAGAACGTAATTGAGTTTGCTCAATTTTTAATTTTTATCTTCTAGGTGTGAGTTCCACTTGAGGTTGGATTGTATGGTGGTTCTGAGGTATTTTGTGTACTGTGCTTGTGGGATGCTGTTGCTTTTTAATGTCAAATTTGTTGAGTAATGTTGTGTTGAGTGAAAGTTGTGGAAGAGCATTGGGATTGTTTTGTCTTTGTTTAGGATTAGTTTCTTTTGGTAGATCCATTGAATTAGTTTGTCAGTGGCTAAGTTGGCATTTTATTGTAAAGCTTTGGTTGTTCTGGCTCTGAATATTATATTAGTGTCGTCAGCAAAAGTATTGTTTTGTTGTTACCCATTATTGATTCCATTTACTTCTTCTTCTGCACTTGAAGGGTTGAGTTCCAAAACCTGTTCCTGTGTCTACTTCCTTCTGGGCCTTCCCACAACTCTTCTTTTTGTGCATCTGTAGTCTATTGCAAGTATTGGTCATCTGTAGTCTATTGGTATGCTATCGGGCATTCTTCATAGATTTTCATTCCATCTTTTCTGAATCTTTTCTAGTTACTCCAGCAGTGGTTCGACTACCAGTTTATTTCTTAGCTACCTAAGATTTCTTTTTATCTAAGTTGTTAAAACTTAAGGGTGCTCCTCAAAAATTTCATTTCTGCTGTCAGTATTTTAATTTTCTTTTTTTGATGTCACTCTTGCTTCATCTCCATACATTGACAGTGACACAGTTGTGTTGAAGAATTTTATTCTTGTTGTATATTATAGATGTCTGTGTATTGTGCTTATTTCTAAATTTATTTACTTTTTATCTTAATCTCTCTTTCACGCGAGGTGTGGCAACCAAAATATTTAAAATATTTTACCTGTTCAATAATTTTTCTATCACAATCTTTGTTCTCACTGGGCATTTTCCCTTAAATACCCTTGTTAGTTTTTCTGTAAATATTTTAAAACCATACTCTATTGCAATTTGATTTAATTTATAAACTGTTATCTGTAATTTGTTTACAGTGTCCTGTATTATCACTATTTACAAATATAAGAAATGGAATCAGGTCTAGTGTGGATCCTTGCAGGACTTCATAGGTCACATCTCTTGGTTCAGTGTTGAATTTTTATTTCGTTGACTTTTGGTAAAGTAACTCCACTATTTTTTTTTGTCTGATAGACATGATATTATCTACTTGTAAATAATATCTTGGATTCTATAAGTTTCTAATTTTGACAATAGAATTCTGAGATCTATTGGGACTTTTGAGAAGTGAAGAAAGAGACTAACAAGAATTTCTTTTTGCTCTAATGCCATGAGGATTTCATATACAAAGTTAAATAATGCAGTTTCAGTTCATTGATTTTCCCTGTATCTATGTCGTGAGTCAGTGATAATGGTACAATGTTTCAGGTAGCTTTCAACTAATCCCATGGTATTTTGTATAATATTTTTGAAAATCGTAACAAGTGTAAAGTTGCTCTATAATTCATTACATCTTGTTGGTTTCCTTTTTTGTAGATAGGTTTAATTACTGTAGTTTTAAACATGTTTGGGAAGGAGCCATAAGTTAGTGATTGGTTGTATAAGTATGTAAGAGGTATAATGATTAACGGAGCAACACTTTTTATAATAGTCTGGAATGTTGTCTATCCCAGCAGATTGATTGTTTTTCATTTTGTTTACAATTTTAAGTAAACCTTTTTCCTTTTCTGTGGTTCATGTTGTTTACATACTAGAGGGCATGTTTTTAAAGTGAGGAAGTGTTGGAATTACTTTTGTGGAGAAGTATGCCAACTATTTCAGAGATATGTTTGTTTAACCATTTTCTGGGCAACTTATTTTAATGATGCAATCAGGCAGGCAGGGTCCAGTAGACCCAGGACTGATTATGAAGGAATTATGCTCACAGGTGCACATTTTGGTAATGGATAATGAAATAAAACGCTCTAATAATGTTGTTTAATGAAACAAAATCTATCAAAACTACTTTATCTTTATCATTTAAACATGTTTTTCTTTTATTTCAGATTGCACATTTTGTTTACCTTGTTAACTTTTGTGTACAAACCAAATTTTTTAGAATATCAATAATAAACAATTGTATCATCTCATGTTTTCAAACATTCAGTCAGGCACAGCACCATAGCTATCTCTGTGCAGTTTCCCAGCAAACCACACCTGGACTACAGATGACATCAAAACTCACCCTCCTGATCCTTGGCTACATACTAACCCACAGTGATTCTGTCTGTGAAGGCATTGTTCTTAGAGTCTCTCACAGTTAGTGTTATATAACATCCCGATGAAAAGACTTTCCGCAACCTGACATCCGTTTGTCCACTGCAAACAGTTGTTGTGAAATAATCAATCATATGAAACTGGAAAAAGAAATATTACATGCAGATTAATAGACCTGGGTCCAATGAAACCTGCTTGCTCAGTTGAGTCTAAAAAAAGATAAACATTTTTAAAATTATTATTCAATAACGTTTTTGTAAAATTTTTGGGAGTACACTTAAAAGACACTGTAGCAAACAAAAGTCACAAAAAATATCACAGCACCTTCCACAGTTTTCACTTAAAATATTGACAATTTTGCTTATGGGTCCATTGGACTCCAGTTGCCCAGACAAGTGTTAAAGTTCTGGTTGCTTCGATAGGATATGTGATTCTTCTATGTTCATGTACTAGTTTATTATTTTGTGTTTCTTTTTTTCGGTTATGATAAGGTATTTTCTGCTATGTTCCATATAGCTTTTGTTATCTTTTTTTATTTATTTATGTACTCACTCACCATTTGACCATTGTTTGACCTTTCTCATAACTTTTTTGAAGTCTGGCTGAGTATCGTTTATAGTACTTGACTATTTGATTATTACAAGAACATTGCGTTTGTGAGGATATAAAGTTCTCTTTTTCTTTGACTAGAAATTTTAATACCTTTGGTAATCCAAGCCCTTTCAAGGTAAATCATATTTCTTATTCTCCTTTATTGTGTTTGTTTTTAGTGAGGTGGAATTTATTTTAAGAGTGAGGGAGTATTTGTGCCTTACGTTTACTGAGCCCCATATTATAGTGGTTATTGTATATATGTTTTGTTTTTTCTAAGAAAATTTGATTGATTGCTCTTCAGGGGTTCTTGGATGGTCTGGTTGGTGTGTTAATTACAGCATCAAGATTGTAGGAGTATACTATGTTTACTAGTTTGATACATTCCTCTTCATTAGTGATGTTAGCTGTGGTTAGGAAGCTAATGTATATATCATCATAGAGTAATGAGTATGCTTTAATACTTTATCCAAAATTATCTCTACATTTTTTTAGAGGATTTGAAAATTTCCATCACATTCTCAGAAATTCCTTTGGAGGAAGACATTTTGCTTCGGAATTTCTGCAATTGAACATACTACGTCTGAAATACAATTTTTTGTGTAAATTCAGTTACTTCTATGAATTCATTGTTGTTGTCCCTCCCAACATATGACTGCTCTCTGTGTATTTGGTCTTACAACACTAATAATCCACAAAGTAGAAACCTGAATTTTGTCAATTTTATTTTGTCCTCTCTGAGCTGCTATTATATCGCTATTATTGTGTTAGATCTTGAATTATGTTGCAATTTCTTTATGTTGTATCATATCTTAGTATTCTAAATTGTGTAATTTTGCATTACATGAATTATTCTGTGTCGTTATTTTGTAGTCAGAATTTAACTGCCTTGCCGAACTTTATTTCATTATTATTTGTTTTGTTCAATAATGTTGGTATGAGATGTTATCTTATTGTTCTCATAATTCTTTAGTGACAATGGCAGATTGAAAGTTGTTTTTTTGAAAATATATTTGTGATGTGATTTATCTTGTTACTAGGTTTTTGGTAGATCTTGATTATGTAAGATGGCCCGTATTTATAAGGTACTATCTTATTGAGTGAAAAAAATTGTTCTGTGTAATGGCTGACACAATATTCATAGATTTATTTACATCCTGTTCAGAAAATAATTGATATCATTTCGCAAGATTTATACAGATATTTTGTGTCTGAAAGTTTGGGATGGTTTTGGGATATTTGACCTTAATTTTTCTATGTTTTTGAGCAAAACTGACTTCATGTATATCATTGTCAATTTTCTTTGAATAATAGTTATCTGCACTTCCACTGAAATTGTCACCATCAGAAACAAGTTTCTTGTGCCAAGTGTTGTGTATATCTAAGGAGTATTCCACAATAATATTCTATACAGGATTTTCCAGATCACATTCTTTCCTACAACACAACAGTGTAATTTAAAA